AGATAGATAGATAGATAGATAGATAGATAGATAGATAGATAGATGATAGATAGGTAGAGACAGACAGATAGATATACATACATATGTGTGCTTCAATATACAGCTATATGTGTTTGTATGTATGTGTGTATACACATATGTATACATGTATGTATTACATTTGTTTATTATGAGTATATATTATATCTGTGTATATGTGTGTGTATACACACACAGACATACATATGTGACTGATACCAATAAGTATATAGGTAGATAGAGAGAGAGATAGACAGACAGATAGATAGATATACATAAATATGTGTGCTTCAATATATAGATATGTGTTTATGTGTATATGTGTGTGTGTGTATATATATATGTATACATACACTATATATAACATTCATTTATTATATGGATATATATTATATCTGTGTATGTAGATGTCTATATCTATACACAGACATACATATGTAACCAATACCAGGGTAAGTGCTAATACAAAGAATGAAACAATATCTCCTCACGAGGAGTTTATATTTAATGAGAGAGACAACAATTAAATATGAAATAAATAATATAAGGTGAATAAATAGAAATACATGCCAAGTAATTGAATACAAACTTCAACCTTAAGATGGCTATGTCCAGGTTTGGAGGTGACCTGGGGAGTCCAAGTAGCCTGGTGGTCCCAGGTCCCTTGGTGAGAGCTAACCGGTTCCAGGGACAGTTTCTGCCTCAGAGAAGATGACACTAGCAAGACAAGGGGGCCAAGCGCTAGTCTGTCTGACCAGCACTTCAAGACTTTGAGGGACAGTGCAGAGCCAAGGTGAAATATATGTTCATTTTTCCCACAAACCGCTTTGTTCTGATGGAGTTTGCCTCACCTCCCAAAAGGGTATAACAATAGTTATGTTAAGCTACTAAATCCTGTTTTAAGTCTGTATGCTTCTGAGTGGTTAGCATTTCTTTTGTACTTAGGAGATAAATACCAACCTCTCATACCTGATTCACATTGTACCTCTCTACTTTGGAAAAAACAGAGACAGGAGCCAAAACATAGTAAAACCCCTATGAAGGAGGATTTGTGGCTGACAAATGACTAGGGACATGAAGAGTGTAGATGCAATGCTGACCCTGCTTTCAAGCAGTATGCAATCTAGTAAGAGAGGACAAATAAATAAAAGACAAGCAGGGGCATGCCAGAGTCAGCTGGTGTATTAAATTTTTAGCATGAGTATTTACCCCTCAGAAATCAGCAAACGCTACAAATCAAGGTTTGATTTATTGTTTTGTGAATTGTCTAGACTTCGAAAAGTGATGCAGAAAATTTTAAAAATGCAGATTAAATCTAAAAGCACATCATGCTTACAATCTCCTCCACCCCTACTCGTGCCAAAGCCAGTTGTTGAATATTTATTCACACATCCCTGACCAAAAAAAAAAGGGAGAGACAAGGGCAAAGATAAGGTCCACAAACATTTTGAGGAGGTGTTGACCACTGGCAAGAAGGGGCAGAGGGGAGGTAGAAGGGAAGCATTGCATCATTTCACTGTCCTTTCTAAAATATGTCACCTGGAGCTAACCACAATTCTGCAGCCCTATCCACATTGGAAATGTCACCTTTTCCCCTCCTGACCACCACGTTTCTTGTTACTGCTTCCCATGTCATTGTCTCTTATCCCTAAGCTCATTCCTCTGCACTAATTCTAATTGTAATTCTTTTTAACTTGCACAGATTTTCAATTTTTAGTCCCTTTCATTTTCTCATCTAGAGCAGAAGTTCTTAACCTGGGATCCACAGACAGATTCCAAGAGGCCCATGAACTTGGAAGGGGGAAAATGACATCTTTATTTCGATATAATTGGTTTCCTTTGTGATCCTATGCATTTTGTTTTATGCTTTTAAAGACACAATTCCAAGAAAGGGTTCATAGGCTTCATCAGACTGCCAAAGAGGTCCATCACAGACACACACACACACACACACAAAGGATCCAGAGTCACTTTACCTCTTAGTCTCAGTTTCCTCATCTGCAAAATGGGCACAATCAAATTCATCATGATTTACTTTGCAGGGTTATTGTGAAGAAAGTGCTTTGTCAACCTTACAGTGAGTTGCATTGGTAAGGATGGGTGATCAAAAGAGAACCAGATATAATGAAACATTGCTCCTTGATTCCTAAGGATAAACAAGGGTCAATTCATTCATTCCACCATGATCCTTGCTTTACAAACAGCCAAGGCTACATGGCTGACTCACCTTCCATTTGTGGTCCACCATGCCCTTCAAATCCCATCCTTCCTTATCCGTGCACTACTAACCATTGTCTACTTTAGAGGCTGTACATTTGGCCATTCTATTTAACAACCCTTCCCAATCAGCATTGAGGATCAATCCTTCCCAAAGTGACTAAGACAATCTATCTCCCTACAGTGAAGAGGTTGCATAATTTCCCCACTTCTCCAGATCTCCTCAGCATCAGGAGCACACAACGATGCACATTTCTCATTTGCAACACTTAACCTTTACACACTATTCAGCTTGATCTTTCCCTTCGAGTTCTTTTAATAAAAAGGAAAAAAAAATACAGAGAAACAGCTTTTTCATCATGCCTTTGGCATTTTTCCCTTTGTCCCCTCAAACCCATTACAGTGAGTTGCCCATTCGGCTCTCTTATACGGATCATCTTTTCTATTTATCTTTTCAGCACTGGTGAATCAAAAAGAATCAGTCTTTCTTATGCATTAATCTGGAAGAGCTAGGGAGAGTATCTGGCTTATGAAGATTTTAACCTTTAAATTCAAAGGCTTTTGGACAGCTACCAACTTTCAATTTTTCTTTTGCAATTCTCTAATAGTGATCATCAATTATCCTCTCACTCATGTTGGTTTTGTTTTGTTCTGGTTTTTTAGCATGTCACAAGCATCATCCTTATAAGAACTGGAAACATTAACTTCAAGATACCCAAGTGAGATAAGCAGGTGGCAAGTGTTATTAACTTATAAGAAACACAAGATAGTTGATTAAAATGGTGATGAGCTGAATGATAACATCGAGATTTGACACGATAGCTAATATAGTGTGCCAGGCACTGTGCTAAGTGCTTTACAGTTATGTAAACATAAATATGAAAAAAAGCATTTTATATTCAAGTCTTGGGAATCTGCAAATTCAGACTCAATTGTGGGTTTTATGAGCTTCTTTGCTACCAAACTTTCCAAACTGTTATCTCTTATTCTGAACATGAAAAGTTCCAAGTGTTCTTCTCCTTAAGGACTGTTTGTGCCCTTGTAATTGCATTTGACCTAGCTATGCATAATTGTTCCAAATTGGTTTTCTTTCCTTGGATTTTTTTTTTTACTTGATGGACCTGCGGTTCCATTTATGGACTGAATATATAATGCACCTTAATGGTTTTCTCACTTTTGAGTATTTTTGCTTCTTAGAAATATTACATTTACCCTTGAAAGCATTACATTTATCCACCCACATAACACTCTCAAATTAAGGAAACTGATGCATCATTCTGGTGACATCACTCCTGCTCAAAAGCCAGTAGCTCTCGCCACTCCTACCCCCTCACAAAGTCCTACAAAACAAAATCCAAGCATCTTAGCTTGGGATTCAAGGCCCTACAAAATCAGGTTCTAAACCACTCTTCCAGCCTCATATCAAATGGTATCAATCATGTAATCTATGGCTGATTCTCTATCTCCTATTCTCCCTTCTTCACATGTTTTCTTGCCCAGTTCCCTACAATCAGAATCAATCAACCCATAAACATTTATTAAGTGCCACTAGGCAGCAGACACTGTGCTAAACACATAGGATACAAAAGAGGCAAAAGATAGCCCTGTCCTCAAGGAGCTTACAATTTAATGGGAGCAAACAAAGCAAGCTATATACCAGATCAGGGGTGGGGAGCCTGAGGCCTCGAGGCCACCTGTGGCCTTCTAGGTCTTCTGGTGCAGCCTTTTCACTGTGTCCCAGTTTTACACAACAAATCTTTTTATGAAGGGAATTTGTTTTGTGAAGTTTGGATTCGGTCAAAGGTCCACACTTAAGGACCTAGAGGGCCACATGTCACCCAAAAGCCATAGGTTCCCCGCCCCTGCACCAGATAAATGAGAAATGATTAATGGAGGGAAAGCACTGGAGTTAAGAGGGGTTGGCAAAGGCTTCCTAAAGAAGGTGGGACTTTAGTTGGGACTTAAAGGAAGCCAGGGAGGTCAGTAGTGGGAGTGGAGGAAGGAAAGCATTCCTATCCCGCCATCTTGGAAGAATTTGAAGTTTTCCTGTCAACATCCTCCTACCCATTCTCAAGGCCCAGGTTCAATGTGACCATGTGACTGCCCTACTCAACCATCTCCCAGAGCTCTCTAATGCGTCTAATATATAAACTGCTCTGCCAGCCTTCAAAGCCCTACACAACCTGCCCCCAACCTACTGAACTCTGGGATGCAGTCAAACTCTCTGCTCCTCACACACCACATCCTATCTCTGCATCCATACCCTTGCATTGCCCCCATGTACTGCCTTCTTCTTTCCCGCTCAGAGTCCTCACCTTCTAAAACACAGCTCAAAGCCCTCCTTCTCTATGGAGACTTTCCTGATCCCCCTAGCCACTAGTGCCCTCCCTCCCAAACTCCCTATTTTGTTCATATATGCATTTATTCACTTCATGTTACATATATGTATGTATATACATATGTGTGTGCATGTATGTGTATATCCATGTGTATATGTGTGTACATGTGTATATATGCACATACATGTGTCATTATTGTTTCCTTCATTAGAATGCAAACTTCTTATGAGTAGAAATTGTCTCATTCTTTATTGTATCTCCAGCATTTTACAAAATGACTGGCACATAGTAGGAGTTTTTTGACTGATTGATTGACGGTGCTTAAAAGTTTGCCATATGAATGAATGAACAAATCTCACTAATGTAATTACTATATGTGATGTTTCTGACTATGTCCTGTTGTAGAACAGAATTAAGAATCCATTCTAAAGAGGAATATAAATGTTTTAATTGTCTAATTACACTGGTAAATAGCATAGCAAATTACAGCATAGTATTAAGTAGAGAAACTTACAGTTATTAGCAAATAAAGTATTTTCCAAATAGCCCGTTAGCCATTCACCATAATGATCCTTACTGATTTTGAATAATTAAATAATATCATGGTGACCTTTTCTGGGAAGGTCATATTGGAGGTGGGATGGGAGAGAAGACACCAATGACACTAGTTACATGAGCCTTTATACAAAGAAAAGAGAAGGTGAACCAAAATTTTACAGGACATATAAAACCAGTATTTTGTTTTTAAAAAAATGTTGCAATGAAATACATCCTTCTTAAAAAAGAAAGTTCCTTTGAGCAGCTGAATGCTTTAATAAAGCTGAAAACCAGTAGTATAAAAGGGAAAGAAATAGCTGTGAGAACTTCATAGCTTTATGCCTACTTGATCAATTTAAGATTTTAACAACCAAAAACAAAATGGATTCAATTTGTGCAGAGAGTACTAAAAGATTACAGATGTCAAATATATGGTTTTTCATTAATTCCCTTACAGTGTCTCATTATTAGACATTATAAATAGAATGAAGATTTTTATCATATAAAAGCCATCCAAAAACGTATTGGTGAACTGTATAATTCATGAGATTTCCCATCCGGCCCCAGTGAGGAGGAGCACACTACCTACTGGTCTCAGGGCAGATTTCTGTCTAAAGTGGCAGGCCCCAGGACAGTTGATGAGCTTGATTATTACAAGATGACCACAGTGCGGTTCCATACTTTGAGCACAGTGTCCAAGTGATTTCCTTCTCCCTCGGTAGCGTTCAAGATTTGCCTGTAACTTTGCCTGACAACACTTGGGATCTGGGGTGTCCAGAACCTTCTCAAAAGTGTCTGCAACACATGAAAGTCTCCTGTGGAACTAAGTTCTTCCCAAATGTTGATGAGCAAGCTACAAAAGGCCAAGGGAAAAAGAGGAAAGGAGAAAGAAAGGTTAGCAAGCTGGAGCCTGAGACTCTTTAAACCACGAGGCATCAGCCTAAACCGGATAAATATTTCCTGTTTTATAAATGCAATTTTTAAAAAATCAAGGCAGCATTATGTACAAAGAGAGCTGGCCTCTGAGTAGGGAAGGTTTAAGAGTCCTACCTTGGACCATACGTGATATGTGACCCTGAGCAGATTTTAACCTTTCAGTACCCCTACGCAACTCTCTGAGCCTCTACGTGGAAGGACAAGTGCCAGCAGAAGGAGTTCCTCCCCAAAAACTCCCAACACAAATGAAGTTCAGATTTTTTTTAAGGGTAAAAAATGAGACTGCAGTACTCTCACAAATAAAATAAATGGAGCTTTTTCTGCTAGAGAGAAAGCAATTGCAATAGGAAAAAGTGCCATTAATATTCTCAGGGCCAAATAAACCACAGCTTTTAAAATGCAAATAAAATAAGCAAAAATTGGTTGTCTCCTTGAAGTACCCATTTCATTTTCTGAAAGGCTTTTTTAACATGGAGAGCTTAACATCATCGAGTTAAAAGAGCTTAATGTTGCTACTCAGACTCACTTCTGAGAAGCCATTTAAATCAGGACACGTCTCTTTAACACATTTTAAAATCTTTTCATAATTCAGCAAATAAATAATGGTACAGATTGGTGATAGCTAGTCTTTCTTTCTTGTGTGGCCTGAAAAGGAATGGGCATTAATAATAAAAATGATAACATTTATACAGGACCTACTATGTGCTAAACATTTATATAGCGCTGACTATGTGTCAGGTACTGTGCTAAGCATAATAATAACTTTTATATAGTGCCTACTGTGTGCTTGGCATTGTACTGAGCACTTTATAATTATTATTTCATTTGATCTCCACAACAACCCTTGGAGGTAGATGTTATTATTATCTCCATTTTACAGAAGAGGAAACTGAGACAAACAGAGGTGAGATAACTTGCCTAGGGTTTATGGGACATAGGTTTCATTCTTCCTTCTTCATGGTTTTCTAGGAAGCTTTTACTTCCTTGGGGCAGAGTGGTGGTACAGTGGGGAAAAAGACTGCACTTGGAGTCCAGGGTTCTGAATTCAAGTCCTGCTTGTGGCATTTGCTAATCGTATTACCTTGGAAAAGTTCCCTTGTCAGCCCCAGTTTCCTCCTCCATAAAATGGGATGATAATATGTATACCACCCACCCCAAAGGGGGTTCCTGTGAGGAAAGCACTTTGTAAAGTGTAAAACACTATACAAATGTGAGCTATTATTTAGTTACAGAAAGTTAGCTTGCTATTTATTTGTCCCCAAAACTTTCTCCATTGGGGCTTCTTTCCATCATTGGGTCACTCTTTAAAAGTTGTATGTCAAGTTCCACCATATTAAAGGACCCCAAAGCAAAAGTTTGGCAATTCATTTAAGGTGAGATGTGGTAAGTCCATGAGGGGTTATCCCCCTTTTATAGATAAGGAAACTGAGGCCGAGAGTTGTTTAGAGATGTTTTGGAAGGAGAAACCAAAAAAAAAGGGCAAAATCAAATCATTTTGTAAGAGAGAGAAGAAGAATGGGGAAAAATCAGGCAGGAGAGGGTTAAAAAAAGGAGCACATCAGCATCATCATTATTATTATTGTTATTACTATCATCATCATCAGAACAGTCACTAAGGCCATACTGCCTCCAGCTGCCAACAATCACATAGGACAGGATTCGAGCTGGTAGTCATGTGGAGGACACCACGTTGATACAGAGTGTATCAATGCTGCTATTCTTACTTTCAGCTGGATTACCTTCATTATTGGGTAAACAAGGAACAGCTCTGTCCTGGAGAAGGTGGCAACAGATTCCATCATCCTCTCTCCTCTATAAAAGAAGGGGGTTGGACTAAGTGACCTCTATAAGTCCTTCTGGCTCCAGCTCTGAGATCCATTGGTCTGATGTGGAGTCATGGCCTTATTAAAAGTGTAGATAAATTAAATTTTAAGATTCCTGCCAGGTGGACAATGTGAAATCCCACAAGCAGTCTGAGCACTGGGTTCTTAGAGACTTCACCCAAGCCCTCTTGGAATGGAGATGAAGGAACCTTTGCCTGTATCTGGCAGTAATTTCTCACCTCCTTCTTTGTTATGGCAAAATCTGAATAGAAATGGGAAGGCCTTTGACCACAGAGGAAGCAGCTACTACCCCCAGTGCTTCTTGTCAAAAACCGTCATGCACCCAGAAGCTCTCTACCTATCAGGCATCCTTACTCACTCCTACCTAAGGGCTCCCACTCCAGCCAGTCTAGACCTTGTTTCTATACAAGCAGACAAAGCATACTACCTGCCTTTTAATAAAACAGACAGCAATTATTTCAAGTATTTACCTAGATCTGCCATCTTTCTTTATGGCATGTATTAGGAATTTGCCCAAGAAGCAAACATATGAGGAGCCCCTGTTTTGGATGAGGCTGATACACTATTAAGGTCAATGTTACTGCTGGCTTCCTTTCTTCCGGTCCCTCTGAGTCTGGCTTCCTATCCCTGTGGACCTTGGCTTCTGTCCTCCTTTCTTGGTCCCTACTCCTTGAACTTTTAGATTAGGGGCTCTTAAATTAGAGGAGAGGATCTGTAGATAGATTTCAAGAGGTCTGTGAACTTGCATGGGAGGGGAAGATGCTGTTTTAATCTTCATTATTTACTTACATACTGTATATTTATACACTACATATTTTCGCTTCTAAGTGAAATTTAGCATCTCTTCCAATTTTTGAAAAACATTATTCAGAGAAGGGGTCCTTAGGCTACACAAAAATGTTAAGGACACCTCTTTCAGATGCCCATCTAGAAATCATTTCCCACATTCTCCAACTTTAATTCTGTTTTTGTCATCCTATTTGGCTCTGAGTCTAAATTTGGCTCCTAATCTAGATTCTGACCCTCATCTATTCTCTCCATTTGGTTGAACATCTAAGCCTACAAAATATGCTTTGCCCCCTGAACTACCTGTGATCACAAATGCCCTCAGCTGTAGCCCCTCTACGTTTGCCAGGCAGACCTTGCCAACTGTCTGAGTCTCAGCCTGTGACAACGTCCACACCAAGAACAATAGTGCCCTCTATGGACCAATTCTACCTTAATAATAACTCTCATTGATAAGCCACAATTCAACCTTAATAATGATAACTCCCATTGATGAGCCATAATTCAACCTTAATAATGATAACTCCCATTGATGAGCCATTATTCAACCTTAATAATGATAACTCCCACTGATAAGCCATAATTCAACCTTAATAATGATAACTCCCATTGATAAGCCATGCTATGAACACACATACAAACCACTTTGAGGTGTTCAGAGGGCTTTTATCACAAGGACTGTGTATTACCTCCATTTTACAGATGAGGGAACTGAGCTTCATAAAGATTATGTGGTTTCCTCAAGGTCACACAGCTAGTAAGTATCAAAAACACAAGTTCTGGATACAGGTGCTCCTGGCTCCAAGTCCACCACTTTATCTGAGGTACAGTGTTACTTCTGCTATATACCCACTGATCCCCAATGAAAAGCATGTTTATGTGGTGAATATCAGAACTTAGGTCATCATAAATGTGAGACATGCACAAATATTTCACAAAGATGTCATACCTCTTGTTTATTACATCAGGATATAATTTTCTTCTAATCTGAAAGAAAAAAATTGAAGAGAATTAAACGTTATGATCTTTATAAATGTTACCTACAGGGTATACAGAGTGTTTTCTTATAAAACCATAACTATATACAGGTTTCATTTTGTATTTGGACCATAATGGGGCACAGTCCCACTATGGTCCCACAGAACAGATAGGACTTGTATAAGAGTGTGCCCAACACTGTTGAGAATAGTCCAGCCTCATATATATTCTGGTCCTCGTAACTTTGCAGATACTCTTTGGTGGAAGAAATCTCTCTACCCATTCAGATCACAGCACACGCTAGAATTCTTCTTCTATACGATATGTATCCATGTCCTTCTATAAATCCTCCCTTGCTTTACCCAACACCCTGGAGTTCCTCATTTGGGTATTTTCATAATTCATGACTATGATACAGCCCCCGGGTTATCTATTGTCATCCCTGGCTCTCAGTGCATGCGTGGCCCACTCCCTCTTCCAATCATACATACCATGGATGGTGTCTTTGACTTCACTTCTTGCCTACAAATTATGACTGGTGATATACCAACTTAAGTCATCACATTCCTTTCCCTTGATCTTTGGGTCACTTGCAATTTTGATTCTTTATGCTTAATGCTTACTATATGTGATGTAAACAGGGCTTGGCTTTGCGTATGTAAAAGTGCCTCCATGTTGGGTGATCTGGGTATGGGCAAAGCCCAGTTACAGGAGATTGATATAAGATTACTTCCACCTTCTAAAATTTCTAAAAATAATGATTGTAAAATGAGTGAGATAGCCATCTTCGTTACTGGATTTCACTTAAAACATCCCTGGCCTTGGTCAGAGTTCAAATGGTCAAACTGTACACAATATAAAAATCTAATCATACCTATGTTAAAACAGTTTAATGACATCCAACTTGTACCAACACCCCTCTCTGATGTGCACATTAAACAATTTTTAAAAAGGAAGAAATCTTTTTCACTTTCTCACCAAAACCCTTCATCTTTGTGTCATGTTATAAAAATTCAACTTGTAAATAATGCTAGAATTCTACCAATTTACATAATTAGGCCTCAATGCTGATTTTTTTATTCCCCAGATGATGGCACTGAAAGTACAAGGGGCTGCCATAGCAGATCACCATCAGTGAAAGCTAAATTTTATATCAGAATTTTGCCTCTAAGTGGGTTGACAATTTCAACAAATGGACATAATGAGCATAGTCATAAATAATTTTTTCCAGTTAAATAACTATAGCCTGAGTCAACTAAATTGAAATATGTTTCTTAAGAGAGAAACATAAATAGAAGCAGTGGGATAAACACAACATACCTTTTCGTGCACTCTTTGTTTGACTGGACACCATTGTGACAGCATCTGACGGCAGGCCAACATAGACCCCTCCATAGTTCCTTAAGGGAAAGAAGCAGGTACACAGAATTCAGGCTTGTCTCTACAGAAGCAGTGCTAGATGTCACCAAAATAAACTCATCTTTCCTTTTTTCAAAAACCAGAGATATGAGCTACCATTGTTCTGGGGAAACTGAATATTGTTCTGCATTAAAAAAGAATTAGTGGACATTTTAGCAAGCACTCACTGCATTATAAATACTGAACTAGGGAAAGGAAAGGAAATAGGCATTTACAGAGCATCTACTGTGTGCCAGGCACTGGGCTAAGCACTTTACAAATATTATCTCTTGTTGATCTTCACAACAAACCTGTGTTATTATCCACATTTTACCATTGAGGAAACCAAGGCAGACAGAGGTTAAGTGACTTGCCCAGGGTCACACAGTTAGCAACTATCTGAGACCAGATTTGAATTTACTAGGTCCAACATTTTATCCACTGCACCACCTAACTGCCCCTAGATTAGGTACTTTGGGGATGGAAATACACTTTTAAAATGCGTTATTGGGGGCAACTAGGTGGCACAGTGGATAGAGCAAAGGCCCTAGATTCAGGAGGACTTGAGTTCAAATCTGGCCTCAGACACGTAACACCTACTAGCTGTGTGACCCTGGGCAAGTCACTTAACCCCATTGCCTAGCCCAAAAAAATTTAAATAAAAAAAATAAAACGCATTATCTTCAAGGAGCTCACAGTCTTTCTCTGAGATTATGTAACAGGAGTAGAGAAAGAAAATTCAGAAATATTTACAAAGATACCTTCCATGCCTGCTCCTCATCTCTGCTTCCTAGTTTCTCTGGCCTCCTTCGGCTCTACCTTCTGTAAGAAGCCTGTCCCAATCCTCCTCAATCTTAGTGCCTTCTTTCTGAGTCTACCCCACATTATCATGATGATAGAGATAATAGACTCTCTCTCTCTCTCTCTCTCTCTCTCTCTCTCTCTCTCTCTCTCTCTCTCTCTCTCTCTCTCTCTATTTATACACACACACACACACACACACACACACATCTATATATATGTATGTATATGTATAGACATATATGTGTGTGGAGAGGGAGAGAGAAGAGAGAGGAGAGAGAAGAGAGAGAGAGAGATCTTGTTTCTACATAATCATTTGCATACAGTCTTCTCTATTAGACTGTAAGCTCCTTGAGGGCAGGGACTGGTGGTTGTTGTTTTTGCCTTTCTTTGTATCGCCAGGGCTTAGCACAGTGCCTGGCATATAGTAGGTACTTAATAAATGCTAGCTGACTAAGTGAGTGCAAATAGAGTTGAGGCAAACAATGCGCTATTGTGAGGACACAGAGCAAAGAGATGGTCAGGGTAAGGTGGAGGTGATCAGGGAGGCCTTTCTGGAGGAGATGAGTTTCAAGGCAGCTTTTGAAGGAGAAAGACCAAAGAAGCAGAAAGAGGGAAGGGACTCAGGACCAGAGGATGCCAAGGACAAAGGTCCAGAGACAGAACTGAACAATATGAAAGGGATTCTTGTCCAAATACAGTAAAGAGGCTGGGCTGCCCAGTCCAGATGCTCCCCTAACTGCACACTCCCACTTCCATCTTCAGGGGTCTCAGAGAGGGAGGCCAAAGATTCCCTAATGGAAATGACAAGGTTGGTAATCTAGGCTCCTTCCCAGATGGCTTCCTCCATACACAATCACATGGGGCTGGATGTCATTACAACATCAAATGGGCAAAAGCGTCCCAACGAAAATCAGCCACAATCACAAACATACCTTCTCTTGTCATCATCTGTTATTGATTCTTCTGTCCTAAAAGGTAAAAATATTAGATGTGAGCCGCTGCTTAGATATTTTCAATTTACTGACTGTAGATTTAGTACTGGAAGAAAGGAGAACACAAGAGTTAAATCCTATATCAATCCTATACCTATACCATTAAATACCTATGCCAAACATGAGCTGGTTTTGTTGACTTGGAGAATTTGGTCCCCACCTCAGTCATTCATATATATTTTTTTAAAAACACAATCATTTTTCTACGTAATAAAATTTTATTCACATACAAATCTAGCAAGTGACAAAAAACTCAATTGTCAATGTAATTGAAAATATTTTTTAAAAATAGCATTCATGCATAGAAGCAATAAGTATAGGCTATTGAATAATAATGGATTTCTTACCTGCCTTGCTCTGGTAAAGAGGTGGGGGCCTATGGATGCAGAAAGCTGCATACCCTCTCAGACCTGACCACAATATTGCTTGTTTTGCTTAACTGGATTTCTTTGTTACAAGGAAACACACAATATGTAGGAGGTGAGGAAGGGAGATAATAAGTATTACATAAAAAGAAAAAAGAATTTAAAAACAGCTAAAGGATTTTTAAAAGAAAAACAGAATAACAAGTTTGTTTTCTTTTATTGAAACATTTTGTTTCAAATGAGTTACTTGATATGTAACCTAGGGCAAAAAAAAAAAGGAAAGAAGAGACTGCAGAGAGATCCCCTAAACTGAATTGTATAGACAGCATCCATTATTGAACTTCCATCATTCTGACTTCAGACCCAGTGACAAAAGTAGGCTCTTTGCAGATCAGAGTGTCACAAGGCAGAAATAAATCTATAGCGTGACATTATTAAACACCTGCTTTCTACTAGGCACTGGAAATATAAAGACGAAAAAATGTTCTCCTTGGGCCTGACTGTGGTATAAACATGAGCCTGGCTTCTTCAAGGCATTGCTAATAGAACACGAGCTTTGGCAGGTTCCATCAGGCTGGAAAAGCTTCAAGGACAGACCTGGGAGTGAACAGTGTGTGCTGCTCATGAGCCAGCCTGGTTAAGTCTGGTGTCTGGAGACTGCGGCACCAGCTACCTCTGGCTGCATTAGATAAAGCTCTAGACTTGGAGTCAGGAAGATCTGACTTTGAATCCTTCCTTACGTACTTACTACCTGTATGACCCTGGGTAAATCACTTACCTGCTGTCAGACTCGGTTTCCTCATCTGTAAAATGGGGATGATAATAATAATAATAGCATTTGCACCTCATAGAGCTATTATGAGAATCAATGAGATAGTTCCTTTAAAGTACTTTGCAAACCTTGAAGTACTATATCAATGCTAATTATTATTAGTAGTAGTAGTAACAATCCTAATAATATTCTCAGGATTTAACAAAATCCATGGCTTCTTGGCATGGTTCAAGAACAACAGAATGGGAAGAAAGGAAGAAAGGAAGGAAGAAAGGAAGGAAGGAAGAAAGAAAGAAGGAAGGAAGGAAGGAAGGAAGGAAGGAAGGAAGGAAGGAAGGAAGGAAGGAAGGAAGGAAGGAAGGAAGGAAGGAAGGAAGAAAGAGCAGTGAGACACAACTGAACTTTACTACCCATGTGATCTTACACAAATCATTTCAGCTCTCTGGGATTCGGTTTCCTCATCTGTAAAATGAATACAAAGTACTCACTGGCCTTGGAGGTTTCCTTCAGTTCTAGAGCTATCATCATCATCATAATAACTCATATTTAACTTACATAATAACTCATAATCATAACATCATAATAACTCACACTCATATAGTGCTTGAAGATTTGCAAAATGCTTCACATTTGTAACCCAGGGCCCTCCAAGACTTTGTTCTCATATGGACTGGACCTGATCTTGATCCCAAAGGGTTGTTTTCTCTCTTTGATTTATTGCCTTCACATAGCGTTGCTCCAGAACAATCTCCTAGTATATTAATGGCATAATTCGTGTTGGGTACCACAACTGCAGATAATAAGATGCCCAGTTCCTTTACAAGCATTCAGTGTACCAAGTGCATATCTAGTATAGGACAGCCTTTACTTCACTTCACTCAAAACTCATAGGATTCAAAGTACTCTCAGGAGCCCACGGATTCATAAAGCACTGAAATAGCCCATCAGCTTATCTCAGGAAGGAATGGAACTTGGGACTGCCATCAAAATGACCCTTTGATATTCTGATGAAACCCTATTTATTACTTGGTCCTAAATAAACCCAACATACTTATGTTACAATCCTAAGATTTAGACTCCCCCACAAAAGTTAACATGCTTTGGAGTCTACAAAATAAGTAATTTCTTCCCAACCGGACAGGCCCATGAAGATGATGTGCAATAAACCGGAGGTGTCAAGCACACCGTCCAAGGGCATTAGGTGCAATGAATGCAGCTCCAACCAGATTAAAATGTAGTTGGGAGCTATCTACCAAAAATCAGTAAAAATACAACAAAACACAGATAACATTGAATTTTGAAATCAAGTGGCCTGGCCCTTTTCCTGTCTGAGTTTGACATCATTGCAATAAAGTATTCTTTTTTTCTCCATGGAGCAGGCTGTACCAGGACATCCCCTTTTCTCTCTATAAGGCTGTGTCTGTGAACGTATAAAAGAGGGAATTTTTATACCCTTGGTTACCTTTGAAGCAAGTCCCAAAGCTGATGTTGTTCAGCAAATAAATCAATCTCTCTCTCTCTCTCTCTCTCTCTCTCTCTCTCTCTCTCTCTCTCTCTCTGTCTGTGTGTGTGTGTCTCTCTGTCTCTCTCTCTCTGTCTCTCTGTCTCTCTCTCTCTCTCTCTCTCTCTCTCTCTCTCTCTCTCTCTCTCTCTCCTCTCTCTCTTCCCTCTCTCTGTTTCTCTTTGTCAATTTCTGTTTCTGTCTGTCCCTGTCTCTCTGTCTCTGTGTTTGTGTGTGTGTGTGTGTGTGTGTGTGTGTGTGTGTGTGTCTGTCTGTCTGTCTGTCTCTCATAGAATGCTAGATCCCAGGCCCACACTTTAAGAACCCCTTCCCTAGTCTATTCTTCGTACCTTCTCTGGTAACTAGAAAGCAGAAGTCATTAGATAAAGGAACTTAATTATCTAAAACAAAGTATTTATCCAGTAGTATTGCTAGGTTTTCCTGAATACTGGGAAACATTTAACCTGCTATCCCTCTTAGTTAGCAGCTAGGTGGTGCCATAGTGATTAGAGTACCAGGCCTGGAGTCAGGAAGACTTATCTTTCTGAGTTCAAATATAGCCTCAGACACAGCTGTGTCACCCTGGGCAAGTCACTTCACTCTGTTTGCCTCAGTTCCTCACCTGTAAAATGAGCTGGAGAAGGAAATAGCAAATCACTGCAGTATTTTTGTCAAGAAAACCCCAGATGGGGTCATGAAGACTTTGACATGACTGAAATAACTAACAGCAACAGCCACAAATTCTCACCCTGAAATGAAAACAACTGAACATCAAATCCCTTTTAATTAGGCCCCCCCCAATTAGTCCCTGTCTCCAGATATATAGTTAAGCTTTAACAGCTTAAAACTGCACTGAGACTTTTGGGACACCCCATATATATAGTCTAATTTATGTAGACTGATTGTATAGACAGTCCAAACTCACCAGGTTGTTGTCAATGCCTACTGTATACATTTGACCATGAACAAGCATTTTTTTTTTCAAACAAAAAGTGTTCAAGTGTTATAAAATGGTGCTGTGCTGATCGATAAGGTCTAAAGGACTGTTGTTGACTACTCTTAATTAAAATTGATTTCAAAGTGGAGTTCTGAATCTGTGATGATGACATTGGCCACATCTATCAAGAGGAGTCACAACTCACTACTTGGCTGCTTCCTTGTATTCTGTCCCCAACGGCTGACTGAGGGATATAATGAGGTTCTTTTGGAAGCTCTAAATGACAGATGAGTTTTGGACAGAAAAAGCAGTGACCTATAGCATTTACAAGATAACCAAGCCTTCAAACCTCTATTTGACCAGCTTCAATGGGGCAGCCAATTCTTGGTTGGGACTATACTGTCCAGTAAAGGATCACAGCCTATCTCTGCCTTCTTACCCCGGGGGATTCTTGTCAAGGTCCACAGAAAATCTGCCTAACACATGAAAGGATTTCCTCTAAGACTTTTAATAATAATAGCTAGTCTTTACATAGCACTTTAAGGTTTACAAAATGTTTTCCAAATATTATCTCATTTGATCCTCATAACAACCCTGCTCGGAAGATGCTATCATTATGTCCATTTTACAGGTAGGGAACCTGAGACAGGTGGAGGTTAAGAGACTTGCTCAGGGTCACACAGCTAGTAAGTATCTGTGAAAGGATTTGAACACAGATTTTCCTGACTTCAAGTCTCATGCTCTATCTGCTATGCTAACTAGTTGCCTATTGGTTCCATAGATACTAATACAACCTTTGTACAGTGAATATGCTTATTCCAGGCCAGTCTGGTGATTCAAGCTCCAAGGGTTAGAATGCAATTCAGGACTATAAAATGCAATAAAACCAACTTTACCAACAGGGGTTAGAGTCTGACGGTTAGGGTTCGAGTCAGAATTGGCAGCAGAGTTGAAGGGTTGTGGCTAGGGTTGGGTTCAGGGATAATTAAGTGGCGCCTCATCTCCCTCAGTTCAGATCTGGTCTCAGACACTTACTAGCTGTGTGACCCTGGGCAAGTCACTGAACCCTGTTTGCTTCAGTTTCCTCATCCGTAAAATGAGCTCTAGAAGGAACTGGCAAACCACTCCAGGATCTCTGCCAAGAAAACCTCACAAGAGGTCACAAAGAGTCAGACACAACGGAAAAACGACTGAACAGCAATTTTGGCAGGGTACCATTAGAAGCTAGAGCCAGAGGGGGAAATCAGGAAAGGGTTCAAGTAGGGATTTCTTTTTGTTTGTTTACCCTTCTTGTATGCAAGTCATTGCTGGTAATGTTTGCCAGCTTACATAAGGCCACCATTTGTCTCTTCCTTGTGCTTGGTACAAAGGCAAATGAATGCTGCTATGAATGGACTGCCA